TTCTGTTTACCAACCAGGCAGAGTAAATTCAACATTAAACTTAACTATACAAGAAAAGAATGAAGAATCCCTCATTTTATTAATCCCCATTTACTCATAGATCCATGTCTTTCTGGTATTATTTACCACTCGTAAAGCACATCCAAAGTTTTAAATCGGAGGGTGTCCAACCGCGGCCGCTTTAAAACCTGTGGACTTCCAACTCCCAGAATTCCCCAGCTAGCATAACTGGCTGGGGAATTCTGGGAAGTCCACAAGTCCCAACAACTTGCCATTGCTGGATGCCCCTGCTTTAGATGCCACACTGAATATAACATATCTAATAAATGCAATCATCTGCCAGTTTGGGGGGGGGCAGAAAAGGCAAGCTGTGGTGGTACAGCCTAAGGGGTGGCTTGGCCCAACTGAGCAGACTGGAATATAAGGGGGGGGGAAAGGATCCCCAATTTTTTCTGAGGAGTTTCTAATGCATTTGTCCAAAGAAGGACACACATTTCCTTGCAGGACCAAAAAAGAAAAAAAGATAAATTAATACATAATTTTCTCCCTGAGTGGATGTCTTTAAAGACAGACAGGCAGTGTATCTCTTCTTTAATGCCTCTTCTCCAGATTGGAAAAAGTACTGGGTCCCTTTCTCCGGAAACTGGATCCCTCCTTTCTTTCCTCAGATCTGAGTGGGTCTTGATCGCCAGCTCTGATGAAATGCAGAAAGAAGGGAGGAATTGGGGCTGGGGGTTCAGCATTGCGATCTGCACCTCTTGGCTTCTCCAGAGATGGTTAAAGTGAAAAGCTGCAGCAAGCTGATAAGAGGTAATGTTGAGGTACACACACACCCATGTTCCTGAACCCCTTTAGTCTTAACGACTGTTTCTCCACTTGAACAAGTTTTAAGATGTGTGGACTTCAACTCCCAGAATTCCCTAGCCAGCCGTGCTGGCTGGGGAATTCTGGGAGTTGAAGTCCACACATCTTAGCTATCTTGACTGCCATATTAGAGTCCAGCATTGCCTGCCATCTAAAAAAGCTCTCAACTGCTACACTCTGCATTAAGCCATAGCTTAAACCTGGTTATATAGACTCAGTCGCAACTGGTGGAGTGGAGACACCCCAAGCCATAAGATCACAGTGACTCTTTGCCTCTTAAACCAAGGTCAAGCCAGGCACCTTGTAATTCCAATCGCAACGCGAGCCGAGTCATCTTCAAAGGCCACATATAGATTGCGTAGGGGTCGCATAGCATAAAACAATTATACACATTTCAGAATTTTCACCCAAGTAAATCATCGTGCAGTTCCTCTGTGTCCTTTGAGATTCATCCCTTCTAAAGTTCTTGCTGGGTCCCCCCCCCCAAAAAAAGAGCAAAATGGCTCCCCTCTCCACCTCTTCTACAGAGCACGGAAGGATCCCCAAACCCCTGTCTCCCCAGCTGCAAAATTAAGAATACAGGTAAGTCCTCGACTTAATGACCATGACTGAGCCCACAATTTCCCTTGCTAAACAAGAGAGTTCTTACGTGAACGTTGCCTCGTTCTACGACCTTTCTTGCCACCGTGAGTAATTCAATCGCTGCGGTTGTTGAGTTAGTAACACGGTTGCTAAGTGAATCTGGCTTCGCCATTGTCTTTGGTGTATCGGAAGGTCGCGAAAGGGGATCACGTGATCCCGGAAAACTGTTAAAAGTCATAAATGCGAGTCAGTGGCCAAGCGCCTGAATTATGATCACGTCGTAAGTTCAACGGTTGCAAGTGTGAAAAACGTTCGTCAGTCCCTTTTTTTCAGTGTCATTGTAACTTCAGGCAATCATTAAACAAATGGTTGCAAGTCGAGGACTACCTGTAGTGCATTTTGTCCTTTACGACAGGGGTCCCCAACCCCCGGTCTGTGGACCGGTACCGAGCTGCGACATGCCAGCAACCGGTCCACACAAACAAGCCAAGCCCCATCCGCGGGATGCAGGCAACACACAAAACCATGCACCCTCCGGTCCGCGGAAAAACTTCACGGAACCGGTGGTCCATGGTGCCCAAAAGGTTGGGGACCTCTGCTTTACGAGTCTCTGGGGGATTGCAAAGAGGAGATGGTCACCCATGAATTTCAAGGTCTCAGCTCTTGTTGGCCCCTACATCTTCGCGTAACACCGGTCTCTTCGTCAGACTGGTCTCTTCCCTCGACAAAGTCGCCGACGCTTCTAAGGAACTTAACAAATGTTTCTGATGTCTTCTTTCATCCCTCTCATTTTTGTTCTCCAGGGTTGTCCTCTCCTTCCTCCAAGGGTGGCCCCTTAGTGGTCTCATTGGCCGTGCCCACCGCTGCGTCGCTTCTTTCCACCTGCATGCGGTTATAATCGCCGATCTGAATCATTTGGGCATTCTGAATGATGAGTTGGGGACCCGGCATTGCGTTTGGAGAACCCACCGAGAACATGAATGGTTGGGAGAAGGAAGCCTGATCGGGCCCTGGTTCCATAAAGGATGTTGGTGGTCTTGAAAAGTCCACCACCGATGGTAGAGCTGGTGATGGTTGAAGGTTGAGAACAGCGAGACGTTGTTGTAGCCTCAGGTTTTCTCGCTCTCGTTCTCTCTCCTCCTCTCTTTCCTGGATCTGTCTCATGAAGTCCCAGGTAGCTTTTTTCTCCTGGATCACCCTGGAAGTGAAGGTCTTCTTCACCCTTTTGTCAAACACAGGAGATTTTTCAACCAAGGGCACCAACGACGCGAGCAGGAGGGGCATTACCCCGGATTTTAAAGCGTGTTCTTTGGGCACCAACGGAATGACTGAGTTCCTCTTGCAGCAGCGGGTGAGGGAGTCCATCAAGGCCGTGTCGCGTTGATAATCACAGAGGCGGCCCGTGAAGTTCTTGGTCAGGAGCACGAGCGTGAAGGCCGAGTTGTCCAAGGCGTTCTGGAAACAGTTGAGTTGGCCACAGCCGGGGACGAGGAAATCTTCGCTGAAGGTGGCCCCGTTGGAGACACCCAGGGCCTCCAAGCGTTCCTTCACCCGGCAAGCCACCAGCTCATCTTCTGCGGCATGCAGTACCACAAAGGTGTAGAACTGTCTTTCATCATCTGGTGGGACCACTGAAGAAGGTTCTGAGCTAGGAGAGGCAAGATCTGAAGAAGAAGAAGAAAAAGAAGGAGAAGAAGACGATAGCAGAGGTCCAAAACTCGTGATCGGTGCTGAAGCAGAGGTACGGGTTCCAGGTTGTGGAGCACTTCCTGCAGAAGGCGTGGAACCCAACTTCTGCAGAGGTGGGACCTGGAAGCTGAAAGGCAAGTCTCCTTCTGATGGCGTTGTTACGGGGGTCACCGTGCAGTGCATGGGGCCCTGGGCAGATGCCTTGGGAGACAGTGTGATTTTGGAATCAGGCAGTAAACAGGGACCTCTGGAATTTGGTAGAGAAGGTCTTCTCGAATTGGTGGAACAGCCGTTGACCAACGACACAGAGCTGGTGTCTTCTTGGCTGGCTGATGGTAGAGACAAAGACCCTCCCATGCTGGAAGGGCTGTCGGAGGTGGTTGAAGTCTCACTGATCTGAAGGTTGCTGATGTAGGAGATGGGGCTACCTGTAGAACGTAACGGCTGAGGGTTATCAGGAGGAGAAGAGCTGTCGATGGACACCGGACTGCTCCTTCTGGGCGGAGTCAACTCCCACCTACCTGAGGCCAGAGCTCCAGAATTATTCCTGGGCACGGTTGAGAGAAACGGCANGAGGTGGTTGAAGTCTCACTGATCTGAAGGTTGCTGATGTAGGAGATGGGGCTACCTGTAGAACGTAACGGCTGAGGGTTATCAGGAGGAGAAGAGCTGTCGATGGACACCGGACTGCTCCTTCTGGGCGGAGTCAACTCCCACCTACCTGAGGCCAGAGCTCCAGAATTATTCCTGGGCACGGTTGAGAGAAACGGCAGTCCACACGTCTCCATAGCTTCATCCAGGAGACCTTTGAGTTGGGCTCCTTCCATGTGACTGGCTCTAAAGGCTTGGATAGCGGTTCTGTAGGCCTCGTCTCTGGCCAGGGCTTCACAGAGCTTCTCCTCGACCAAGAGCGAATAGATCTCCGCCACGGCCCGGGCCACCTTGGCATGGTCCTTCAGTTGCTCTGGGGTTGTCTTCTTTGCTCCACCCGTGCCCCAGAAGCCTTGGGAGAGATGGTGGGCCACCACGTCATCTCTGAAGCTGTTGAGATACACCCTGGCCTCATCTTCTCTCCCCAAGGACCACAGGATCAGGACGTGCAGGAGATGGCAGCTCTTCCTGTCTTGGTGCGAGCAGCTCAGCTTGTGCCTATATTGAATTAGCCTCTCCGCTGGGATCCCACTTAGGATCTGGAGGATCCCTTCAAAGCCTAGATCTCCCTGGGAAGTTCCTGTCATCCTGGGTGGAGCCGGGTTCAAATTGGAGGGCATGTTACATCCACAAAGGGGTGGCACAGGCTGAGGACGGGCACGGCTCCCCAGCCTTTATCAGAGGTCGGATACCCGGAAGCCTAAATGTCGTCTAGGGCAAACCTCTGTAATTTAACGGAAGAGGCGGGCCTCGGAATTTTTGCCAAACTTGAAGGCTGGAAAAAAAGAGAGAAATAAGAGAATGAAACTCTGGGACAGTTTGGGGAGCCTGAATGAATGAATGAATGAATGAATACATATGTACGTACTTACGTACATACACACCAACATGTTGAGACTCTAGAAAGAGTGCAGAGAAGAGCAACAAAGATGATCAGGGGACTGGAGGCTAAAACATATAACAAACGGTTGCTGGAATTGGGTATGTCTAGTTTAATGAAGAGAAGGACGAGGGGGGATGTGATAGCAGTCTTCCAGTATCTCAGGGGCTGCCCCAAAGAAGAGGGAGTCAAGCTATTTTCCAAAGCGCCTGAAGGCAGGACAAGGAGCAACGGATGGAAACTGATCAAGGAGAGAAGCAACCCAGAACTAAGGAGAAACTTCCTGACAGTGAGGACAATTAACCAGTGGAACCACCTGCCTCCAGAATGAATGCTCCAACACTGGAAGTTTTTAAAAACAGATTGGACAGCCATTTGTCTGAAATGGTATAGGTTCTCCTGCTTGAGTAGGGGGTTGGACTAGATGACCTCCAAGGTCCCCTCCAACTTTTTTACTCCAACTGCTTCATTGGAGGTGTTTAAGTAAGGGGCACATCTAATACAGGCAGTCCTCAACTTACAACAGTTCGTTCAGTGACCGAAGTTACAACGGCACTCAAAAAAGTTACTTGTGATCGTTTTTTCACAATTTACAACCGTTGCAGCATCCCCCGTGGTAGAAACGTGGAGGCTTGGCAACTGACTCACATTTATGACGGTCGCAGTGTCCCGGGGTCAGGTGATATACCCTTTGGCGACCTTCTAACAAAGTCATTGGATCTGCTTAAGGACCGTGTTCCTAAGTTAACAACTGCAGTGATTCACTTAACAACTATGGCAAGAAAGATCGTAAAATGGGAAAAAAATCACTTGATGACTGTCTTACTTAGCAATGGAAATCGGGCTCAGATGTGGACATAAATCGAAGACTACCTGCTCCTTGTTAGCTAATGGAGTTGAAGGCTTCAATCAATCAGAATAGAGCTGGAAGGGACCTCAGAGATCTTCTAGTCCAACCCCCTGCTCAAGCAGGAGACCTAGGGGTTAAAGCACCAGGCTGGAAACAGGAGCCGGTGGATTCTAGTCCTGCCTTAGGCAGGAATGCTGGCTGGGTGACTTTGGGCCAATCATCAGAACAAAACAGAGCTGGAAGGGACCTTGGAGGTCTTCTAATCCAGCCCCCTGCTCAAGCAGGAGAACCTATACCATCTCAGACAAATGACTGTCTAGTCTCTTCTTAAAAAATCTCCAGTGATGGAGCGCCCACGACTTCTGGTGGCAAGCAGTTCCACAGGTTAATTGTTCTCACTCTCAGGAAATTCCTCCTTAGTTCCAGATTGCTTCTCTCTGATCAGTTTCCATCCATTGTTTCTTGTCCTGCCTTCAGGTGCTTCTTAAAAAATCTCCAGTGATGGAGCGCCCACGACTTCTGGTGGCAAGCAGTTCCACAGGTTAATTGTTCTCAGTCTCAGGAAATTCCTCCTTAGTTCCAGATTGCTTCTCTCTGATTAGTTTCCATCCATTGTTTCTTGTCCTGCCTTCAGGTGCTTCTTAAAAAATCTCCAGTGATGGAGCGCCCACGACTTCTGGTGGCAAGCAGTTCCACAGGTTAATTGTTCTCAGTCTCAGGAAATTCCTCCTTAGTTCCAGATTGCTTCTCTCTGATCAGTTTCCATCCATTGTTTCTTGTCCTGCCTTCAGGTGCTTTGGAGAATAAGTTGACCCCCTCTTCTTTGTGACAGCCCCTCACTGGACAGCCATTTGTCCGAAATGGTATAGGGTTTCCTGCCTGAGCAGGAGGTTGGACTAGACCTCCAAGGTCCCTTCCAACTTTATCATCATCATCACTATTATTATTATTATTATTATTATTATTATTATTATTATTATTACCAGACCCAAATCCTGCAGCCGTTCTTCATATCTTCACAACTTAACCTTGTCAAAGCTGAGAAACATTGGAATGTATGTTTCTCAACCTTGGCAAGGTTAAGATGTAGAGCTTCAAATCTCAAGAGTTCCCAGCTATCTAGAACAGTGTTTCTCAACCTTGACAATTTTAAGGCATGTGGACTTCAACTCCCAGAATTCCACAGCCTTAAAATTGTCAAGGTTGAGAAACACTGATCTAGAACTTTAGAATTGCAACGATTGAGAAAAACGGTAGTATTCTCTCTATACTAAATATACAGTGTATTATCTCAATAGGTAATAATATGATACGACATCAGCTATATTATAGCGTATTATGAGTCCTGGAATAAAACACCCAATAAAATGAATTCACTTTAACAATGACCTGCCGTGTTTACTTCACAACTTGCTGCATTTGCACAAAGACCCGCCTGTTTGCGTAACAACTGCATCCAGTAACATAAAATTGGGTGCAATCACACGGCGACCTGCTTAATGACTGCAATTACTTACAATCCTAATTCCAGGCTCAATTAGCGTCCTAAATCGAGGACTAAGTGTGTTCTACCCACCTGGGAGAGAACCATCTGATCTGGGCCAAAATCAACTCCTCTCTTTTCCCCAATCCTGGAGGGAGAGGGCAAGATTCAAACATGCCGGCAAAAATAACAGCTTCATCAATCTGCATCCTTTTCTAGCCAGCTCACACTACGGCGCCTTTGATTCCGGAAGAAAAGTCCTCAAACGCACCGAGGCAAGAGGAGACAAGTCAGATACTTCCTTTGATTGCTAAGCTTCAAGGTGCCCAACCCGGTTCGTCTTGTTTTTAAGGGTTCCGGAAGAATAGAAGGCTTTGATAACACCAGGACCTTCTCAAGATCCTGGGTGAGGCCCTCAACCACAATTTAATAATTTAATAATTTAATTTATATACCGCCCTTCTCCCGCAGGACTCAGGGCGGTGCACAGCATATTAAAAC